TTTGGGTTTGGTTTGTTTGGAGCTATAGAGGAAGATATTAAATAGCCATCATTATTATTACTGTTCCATACATTGCGTTTGGCAAATCCATGGCAAACAATCTCTTTAAAATCTTAAAGAGCAAAGATACCACTTTCATGATAATTGCTTCACATACATGTGGAAGCTGAACAATGAAAAATTATTTCAAAGAAGAATTGATGCATTTGAATTGTGGTGTTGATGAAGAATATTGAAGAAACCATGAACTACCAGAAGAATGAGCAGATGTGTCTTGGAGGAAGCAGATCCAGAATGCTCCTTGGGAGCGAGGATGGCAAGATCTTGTCTTGCTTACTTTGGGCATGTCATCAGGAGAGATTGATTGCTAGAGAAGAACATTATGTTTGGTAAAGTAGAGCATCAGTAGAACAGAGGAAGACCCTCAATGAGGCGGATGAACACGGTGGCTGCAACAATGAGCTCAAACACAGCTATGATTGTGAGGATGGTGCAGAGCTGGGCTAAGTTTCATTTTATTTTATGTAAATTCACTATGAGTCAGAGCCAACTCAACCAACACCTAACAACAGCAACATTGATTGATCTACCTCTTTATTTTAAGTTAATGTGATTTTTAAAAAAACAAATTGGTGGGATTATGCACTGCAGAATATATATTCGTTCATCAGTTTCTACAGGTACAATCCAGTAACATTGGTGACATTCTTCACATGTGTCAACATTCTCTCTATCTCTATCCACATTGTTGCACCACCATTGGCTTAGGCCCACTACTCCTTAAACTTCATCTGAGCTCCAGAATTACTGTTGACAATTTGATCTCAGATAGACAATTCTATAAAAGAGTGAAATAGTCATTCTTTACTAAATTAGCTAAATGGTTGTTTAAAGATGACTTCGGGAGATAATTTCAGTTCATGGGTTGAAGGTTTTATCAGAGCGATAACTTTGAGGATTCTTCCAGTCTCAACAGGTCCAATGAATGTGCATTATGTAAGAATTTGAAATTCTGTTCCATATTTTTTTCCTCTTTTGATTAGGACTCATCTTTTGATTCCTTGATCAAAATGTTCAGTAATAGCACCCGTGCACCATCGAGTTCTTCTGGTCTCATTGCTAAAGAGGCAGTAGATCACGGAGGCAGTTAGAGCTTCAGTTTAGTTCCCTTTCTGATTTGTCAGTCTCCTGCTTCCCCACTGCTGCAGGCAAGTAGAGACCAGCTGTTGTATGGCTGCTCTAAAGTTTTTAAGACCACAGGCACTGCTCACCAAATCAGGGAGTGGAAGAGTAACTCAAAAAGAGTGTTAGGCCAATTCACTGGACAGTCTCATGAACAATGAGACTGCGTACAATGCTGTGGTAGTCCTTAGTGCTGTTAACAAATATTTCTGACTTGTCTTCTGGGACTATATGGTAGGGTTGCACTCCCTGCCCCCTTGAAGCTAGCCATGACCATGTGACTAACATTGGCCAATGGAATGTGAGCACACATGACCTATGTGACTTCTGGGTGGAAACTTTTTTTTGCCACTTTCCCTGTTTTACTTCTATGGCAATCAGATATTTTGTAGCAATAGAGGCTTCATCAGCCTGGGTACCAGAGTGAGGATATAGAGCCAAATCTCAATGGACGAATGATACACATATAGTGTGAGCAAGCAATAAATCTTTGTTGTTTAATTCCACTGTGATTTTGACTTTTTTTTTTTTTTACGGCAACATAACTTATTCTATTCCAACTGACGTGATGTATTTTTTTTTCTTCCTTTTTTTTTTTTTTTTTTAGGGTAGATTCCCAGACATGGAATTACTGAGTTTATGGGTTTTTTCATTGTAAAGCAATTTGCTTTCTAAAAAATAATAGTTTGCATTCCTGTTAGTTGTACAAAATACCAAATTTATCACATCCTTGCCCATATTGAGAATTTCCATTAAAAAAAA